CTAATTTAAGTAGCTTTCATTTAATCTATCCTAAGTCTTTTGAACTACCTTTACTCTTTCCATTCCTCCTGCTCACAAATTTCTGTGCTTCAGGGGGACATATAAATTATATTTTTTTGTATGAGTGACTGAATCGCAGTGAGGTTGGAGATGGATGTTTATATCAGTTCATTGTTTTACAAATGGTAGAGGTATAAAGTGTCATCAATTTAGGAATTAAAGAATTTGACCTCTGGGTTGGTATATAGGTCCCAATTCACTTGGCATGTGCAAGAGCACAGAGATACCACCTGTGGTATGGAGTTATTTCTCCCTCACTTTTGAAAACTAAATGTGAACGTTTGGCCTTTTCCATTCCTACTGCCATTGTCATGGTCCAGTGCTGCTATAGACAACAACCTCATACACTGTCTCATATCATTCATTGCTGTCACTTAACAATATAAATACCTTGTGACCATCAAATCCATATTGGTAATCTGTGTGCCAAAGTCTGTATCATTATTAGTTGGCTATCATTATTGTAGCTATTAGGTCAATGGGAAAGTCATGGTGTATTTTTCTACATCTACACCATCATGAATTTCCCAGTGACCCAATATATAGTGATAAAAGGGCCAGCATCTTTAACTTAGTAACCAAAATGCTCATTATTTTTAGAAATTTTGGTAAAATACACATAGCAGAACTTTATCATCTTAGCCATTTTTAAGTATACAGGTTAGTAGTGTGAAGTATATTCACATTGTAGTGTAAAAAGTATCCATAACTTTTTCATTGCAGAACTGAACTATATACTTACAATTTCCCATTTCTCTTCTCCCAGTCCTTGGCAACTGCCATTTCTATGAAACTGATTACTGTAGGACCTAATATAGGGAGAATCATATGGTATTTGTGACTTATTTCACTTAGATAACTTTACCTATGTTGAAACATGTCAAATTTTCCTTTTTCAGGATATTTTATTGTATACATATGCATGCTGCCTGAGGTTTATCCATTCATCTGTTGATGGACATTTGTGTACCTTTCACCTTTTGGCTATTGTGAATAATGTTGCTATGAAAATGGGTATACAAATATTTATGACTTAGCTTTTCAATTCTTTTGGATATATTGGGTTGTCAGAAACATCTTTTTTTTTTTTTCTTTTTGGAGACGTTTTTTCTATAGGGCACGAATGTTCTCCAGAAAGAGAGAAACAGAGACAGAAAGCAAGAAATCACCCCCCCCCCAGGGGGGAATGGCCATGCCACAATCCTTTCTCCTCCATCCTCCTCTCGGGATCTTGGGCATACACGCACACATGCCCAGTGTGAGTTTAAGCCACCAGGTCTGGGACTCGAACCATGGTCAACTACATGGGAGTCCAACGACAGCCATTGTGCCAACTGCCAGTTCCTTTTTTTTTTTTTAATAGAGAGATTTTTTTTCCCTTTAGTGCACATGCACTTGCCAGAGAGATAGAAAGTGAGAAATCACCTCCCTAGGGAAGATGGCCCTGGTGTAATCCCTTCTCCTCCATTTTCCTCTTGGAATTTTGGGCATGTATGTACATGTGCCAGGCATGAGTTTCAGGCTGCTGGGTCCAGGACTTGAACTGTGGCTGACTACATGGGAGTCTAGTGACGTAACCATTCTGCCATCTACTGGCCCTCATGATGTATTTTTTTCTATGCAAAACTTTTCCAACAATCCAGTATATCAAGTGCAATAGATGGATCATATGATAATCCTATTTTTAATTTCACTGAGAAGCTTTCATACTGTGTTTCATAGTGGCTACACCATTTTATATTCCCACAAAGAATCCATTATTCCTCTGTGTCCTTGTTTATACATTTAATTTTCCATTTTTTTAGCGTTGTCTGTTTTGGGTAGTAGTCATTCTAATGAGTATAAGGTGATATCATATTGATTTTGATTTGCATTCCCCTAGTGATTAGTGTTGTTGGATATCTCTTCATATGCTTGTTGGCCATCTGTATATCTTTCTTGGAGAAAATCTATTCAAGTCTTTTGCCTTTTTTTTTTTTTTTTTTTGAGAGGTTTTTGCCATAGGGTGGGTGCACTTGCCAGAAAGACAGAAACAGGGAGACAGAAAGTGAGAAATCACTCCCCCCAGGGGGAATGGCCCCACCACAATCCCTTCCCCTCCATTCTTCTCTCAGGATCTTGGACATGCATGCACATGCACCCAGTGTGAGTTTAAGCCACCGGGTCCAGGACTCGACTACATGGGAGTCCAGCGACAGCCATTACGCCATCTGTTGGTCCTACTTTTGCCTATTTTAAAATCAGATTATTTTTTGTTGTGGTGGTTCTTTGTATATTCTGAATATTAATGTCTTATCAGGTATACGATTTGAAAATACTTTCTGCAATTCCTCCTGTTTTGAGTTCTAGCGTGTGTAAATTTCAGAAACTTGATTATTTCAAAAACTTCTGGGGCCAACAGGTGGCATGGTGATTAAGGTGCTGGATTCCCACATGGCCAACCTTGGTTCAAGTCCTGGACCCAGTGGCTTGAAAATCACACTGGACACATGTGTGTTAGTGCCCAAAAAGCCAAGAGGAGACTGGAGAAGGAATTGCAGTGTGGCCATCCCCACTGGAGGGGTGATTTCTCATTTTCCCTCTCTCTGTCTTACACACATGCCCTATGGGAAAAACTTTTAAAAAAAACCTTTGGGAATTCATGATGGTGGCTAGATCCCTCATGACTGACTGAGCAATTTGAGTTCTGAACCTGGCAGCTTGAAAAAATGCACAGTGTGTGCCCATGCATGTGTGTCCAAAATCCCAAGAGGAAAATGGAGCAGAAGGGATTGTGGCATGGCCATCCCCCCAGGGAGTGATTTCTCACTTTCTTTCTCACTCTTTCTGGCAAGTGTACTCATCCTATAGCAAAAATAAAAACAAACATTTTTAAATAAAAATAAGTTTAAATTGATACACTAAAATTATATATATGTGTGCGTGTATACATACATATATATATGTATATATACATACATATATACATGTGTATACATACATATATATATATATGTATGTATATACATTTTTTTTTTTTTTTAGAGAGAGAGATTTTTGCTATAAGACTAAAAATTGGGTCTGAGACTCAAACCGCAGTCAGCTATGTGGGGGCTCAGCACTGTAACTACTATGCCACCTGCTGGTATAAAATTCAGTATTTTTATACCTAGTGCTTGTATCTGGGAAGAATACTAAATGTTTACATGAATTCTAATTGCAATTCAGTTCATTAAATGTAACAGCCAAATTGTACAAACAGGATTTTTTAAAAAGAATTATTTATTTATTTAATTAATTCCATTTGTTGTTATTTTTTAAATTCGACCAGTGAGAGACAGAAAGAGAAAGGGAAAGCAAGAAAGCAAGCCACCAGGTCCTAGATGCAAACCATGATTGGCCATGTGGAAATCCAGCGCATTTAACCACCATGCCACCTTCCACAAAACATTTCTGCAGGGCAGTGGCAGGTTGTGCATGCTGTAGGGCATGTGTGCGGTGAGGCAGCCCATCTGCAGTGAGTGAGGCTCTATAACCAGATTTGAAAAATAATGTCAATTTATAATTTACATACATTTTCCTTTCTTTCTGGTTTTTTTTTTTTTTTGAGAGGTTTTTGCTATAGGGTGCATGTGCTCACCAGAAAGACAGAGACAGACAGAGAAAGTGAGAAGTCACCCCCCAGAGGGATGGCCACACCACAATTCCTTCTCCATTCTCCTCTTGGGATCTTGGGCACACGCGCACACACGCCCAGCGTGAGCTTAAGCCACCGGGTCCGGGACTCAAACTGCAGTCAACTACATGGGAGTCCAGCGACATAGACATTACAGTAACTGCTGGTCCCATCCTATGTATTTTTAAATCTATTTTGCCAGAGGGCATGTGTGCCCACCAGAAAGAAACAGAGAGCAAGCACAAGAAAGAAGCACCCCATACCATAATCTCTTCTCCCTCATTTCTCTCTCCTTTCAGGATTTTGAGGATACATGTATATGTGTCTGGCATGTTTTCAAGCCTCCAGGTCCAGGACTCAAACCACAGAGTCTATGTGAGATCTAGCACCTTTAACCACAGTGTCACTGGCCTGAAAGTTATTTTTTATAAAGGGATCATTAAAAAAATATAATCAGTTCCTCCTCCTATCATATTTAGGATATTTACATCTTATTCTTAAGTAAAATTGGGCTATAAGAATAATTTTTTCCTTAAAGAATGTAAAATAACTGTAATCAATAGTGGTTTAAGTATATGTTAGGAACATTTGAATTAATGGACAGAGTTGTTTTGTTTTGTTTCTTAAAGAATTATTTATTGGGGGAACCAGCAGTTAGTGTAATGGCTATGTCGCTGGACTCCCACGTAGCCGACCGCGGTTTGCGTCCCGGACCCGGTGGCTTAAAACTCACGCCGGGCATGTGTGCATGCGTGCCCAAGATCCCGAGAGGAGAATGGAGGAGAAGAGATTGCGGCGTGACCACCCCCCTGGGGGGTGATTTCTTGCTTTCTGTCTCTATGTCTCTCTCTGTCTGTCTGGTGAGCGCATGCGCCCTATAGCGAAAAACCTCTCCAAAAAATATATATATATTATTATTTATTGGGAACAATAGTTAGTGTAATGGTTGTGTCGCTTGACTCCCATGTAGTTGACCGCAGTTCGAGTCCCGGACCTGGTGGCTTAAAACTCATGCCGGGCGCATGTGCATGTGTGCCCAATGGAGAAGGGATTGCGACATGGCCATCTCCCCAGGGGGGGTGATTTCAAGCTTTCTGTCTGTCTCGGCCTATCTGGCGAGTGCACGCACCCTATAGCAAAAACGTCTCCCCCCACCAAAAAAAAAAAAAGATTTATTTATTTAATTTCATTTGTTGTTGTTATTATTTATTTGACCAGACAGAGAGAGAAGGAAAGCGAGAAAGCAAGCCACCAGGTCCAGGACTCAAACCGCAGTCAGTCATGTGAGAATCCAGCGTCATTAATCACTACACTACCTGTCGGCCCCCTGATGGACAGAGTTTTTACAACTTGAACATATGTAAGTATTTCAATCATTAAGTTTCACTAAATGTATATTATTTGTACCATTAAGGTCAACCTATCTGTTAATATAAACAACAGAACTTTTAGAAGATATTTATCAGTGGGAAAGGTTTATAAATACTATGAAGAGGTACATATCCAACAAAAGCTATTTTAATTAAATACATGTATTTTTCTCTCTAGGGTCTGTTAAACTCTAAAAAATACATCTTTCAGATGGAAAGAGAATGACTCCCAATGACTTGGCAATGGGGATTTTCTTCTTCTCACAAACTGGAGTGGGGCTCCTGGGCAATTCCTCACTTCTGTTTCATTATAGTTTGTCTATATTCACTGGAAAGAGTTTGATGCCCAAAGATCTTATTTTAAAGCACCTGACTTTAGCCAACTCCTTGGCTATTATCTCAAGAGGAATTCCTCAGACAGTGGCAGCATTTGGGTTGAAATATTTCCTGGATGACACTGGATGTAAACTTTCTTTCTACCTTTATCGAGTATCCCGGGGAATTTCTCTGTATACTACTTGCCTTCTGAGTTGCTTCCAAGCAATGACAATCAGCCCCAGCAATACCAAATGGATGGAACTTAAACATAGAGCCACAAAATACATTGGTCCCTCCTGTTTACTCAGCTGGCCTGTGCAACTGCTTGTAAACATTATAATTCCCATGAGAGTGACAGGCCCTTGTAACAACAGAAATGTCACTCAGACATTGAATTTTGGATACTGCACAGGGTTTGTTTCTGGCACAATTACAACTCTACTGTATGGGTTCATGCTCTGCTTCACTGATGTTCTATGTTTTGGTCTCATGGCCTGGGCTAGTGGCTCCATGGTGAGAATCCTCTATAGACACAAGAGGCAAGTACAGTATATTCACAGTACCCACCATTCCCCAAGGCTCTCGCCTGAGACTAGAGCCACTCAAACCATCTTGATCCTGGTGTGCACCTTTGTCACCTTCTACTCACTCTCTTCCATCTTAGTAATTTATATAGCACTCTTTGATAATCCACAGCTATGGCTGATAGAAATCATTGCCCTTGTGGAAACCTGTTTCCCTACTTTAAGCCCCTTTGTGCTCATTAGTAATAATTCTGCCTCTAGATTCTATCTTACATGCCGGGGGAAAAGTTAGTTTTCTATGAACTTGTCACAAGGTCTGATGGTTTGAATTTTTTGACATATTCACATATTCATTCATCCATTAAGTAAGGCTAAGCCTCTACTGTACTCAGACACTATTAAGTAATTCAATGACATAATAAGTTAGACATAGTCTCAGTCCTCATAGCATTGCAACATATTTCAGTGATCCTAAGACACACCCTTTTCTTCATTTTCAACTTTATTTTTAAATTTGACCAGAGAGGGACAGAGAGAGAAGGTGAGAAAACAAGCCACCAGGTCCGGGACTTGAACTGCATTCAGCCATGTGGGAGTCCAGTGCCCTTAACAACCACACCACCTGCCAGCCCCCCTTTTTCTTCATTCTAACAATTCTAGTGCTTCAATTGAGATGAAGTAAAGAGAAACTGCCAAATCTCTAGGAATTAAGCAATTTGAACGTAACAAGAGCTCATGTGACTGACCCCTCTATTATATAAAATGATAATTAAGGCACTTTTATCACAGTATTTCTTTCCAAATTGCCTATAAATGTGGTTGATTTTAGCCAGTACACATACTTTGAACATGTAGCTATGCAAAGAATTACATAATATAAATTACTGCAAATGCTAAAAGGTCAAGATACACTAAATGCAGAGTGTTGGAAAAGGGTATTCCAAGGATGGAGAAAGGTGCATGCACAGGGTTGGTGCTGGGAAGTGATGTAAGCATTCAGGAAGCAGTGAAAGGGCTGAAACAAAATGGATAATTTATGCTGAGATGCTGAACTAAACAGATACAATAATTTCTGGAAACAATATTTCTCTGAAAACATAAATCCAATGTAGGAAACTTCTACACTTTTTAAAGAATTATTTAATTATTCATCATCATCATTTTTTACTTTGACCAGAGAGAGAGGAAAAAGGGAAGCAAGCTGCCAGGTTCAGGACTCAAACCATTGTCAGCCATGTGAGAGTCTAGCACCTTAACCACCACACCACCTGCTGGCCCCAACTTATACATTTTATATGTTTATTATTTTATTTTTAAAGAATTATTTAATTTTATTCATTGTCATTTTTTTTTTTTTCAAATTTGACCAGAGACAGAGAGAGAGAGAGAAGGAAAATGAGAAAGCAAGCTGCCAGGTCCGAGACTAAAACCACAGTCAGCCCTCTGGGAATCCACCTTAACCACCATGCCGCCTGCCAGCCCCTGTTTATTATTTTAGAGATTTTTCCTATAGGGCAGGTGTACTCACCAGAGAAATAGACAGAGACAGAAAGTGAGAAATCAACCCCTGGGGGGATGGCCACACTGCCATCCATTCTCCTCTCAGGATGTTGGGCACATACACACAGTGCCTAGTGTGAATTTTAAGTTGCCAGGTCCAGGAATCAAACCATTAAGACATCTGGTGGTCTCTCAACTTATACATTCTAAATCATTAGATATGGACCACAAAGATGGTGGAGCAAGAACAAAGGAAAAAGATCACTTTGGTTCCAGAAAAATCTGAAAAAGAGTAAAGTTTATCAATCCCTCAAAGTCACCCAAAGTAAACAAGCAGTTTGGCAAGGAAGGAGCAAAGAAAAAGAGCCAGATTTAAGCAACTGGAACCATTCCTAAATGGTTTCTGGTGACAGCAGCATGACATGGTATGTCTCAAACTACTAGACACAAGACCTCATGCCTTAGAAGTGCCAGGCAGACATTTGTTGGCCTTTGTTGTATGCATAGTAAAAGGACTGATGGGGTGAGTTTACTGGTACAGATGACCATTGCAAGACTTTGTCAAAATAAAAAAATTTCAGTGGTATCTGTCAGACATTCCCCAAAGCCTAAGAATGCCGTAAATAATGGAATCTTCTGTGACTGGGGGATTTCCAAAACTGAAATCTGTCTGGAAACTCATCTTAAAACATGGGCAAGCCGTGGTCAAGAATAAGACATCCCTTTGACAGACAACACAGTGATTGAAGAGCTCCTAGGGAGGTTTGGTGTCATTTGCTTAGAAGATTTCATTCATGACACTGCCTTCTTGGGGAAGTATTTCCAGGATATCTCATTTCTTGTGCCCTTTCCATCTTTTAGTGACCCATCACATCACCTAGCATAAAGGCTTCCTCAAGGAGATGGCTCATGTAGCTAGCTATCAGGGTGAATGCATCAATGAGCTCATCTGCTAGCTGAACTAGACCCAGAATATGTGAAAGCACAGTGCATTGGAAGCCTGCGTTTTTATCTTTCTTGAACTATTATCCAGTATCTTCAGAGATCAGTTTCTGCTCCATCTTCAGAAACTGGAATGGACAAGACATGGTAGCTTATGTTCACGACAGGCACTTCTCATCATAGCCCAGTTCCAATGAAAAATTCCAGCATTTTCTACATTGACCACTTGTCTTCTCTGTAATCAGCACATGCCATTGGAGGATTTTGTCACATCTCTCCTGGAGTTTAGTGTTGGTGAATAACCCAAACATATACAAGGCTCCCCAAGACTCTCACAAGAGTGGACCAAGCCCACTTGAAGTCGGGAATTTCTAAAGCCTTGTTTTGAAAATTCTTTTTTTTTTTTTTTAAACCAACAAAACAGAAAATTCTTAAAGTACAACTGGGGAGATACACAAAAACAAGTGCTTGAGGCTTGCAGGTGGCATGGTGGTTAGGGTGATGAACTCCCATGTAGCTGACTGTGATTTGAGTCCTGGACCTAAGTGGCTTGCTTTCTCATTTCCTATCTCTCTCTCGTGAGCACACAGACCTTACAGCAAATTTAAAAATAAATATTCTTTATGGGACCAGCAGGTGGCATGGTGGTTAAAGGCACTGGACTCCCATATGGCCAACCGTGGTTCGATTCCTGGACCTGGTGGCTTGCTTTCTCATTTTCCCCCTCTCTCTCCAATCAGACTGGAAAATAATAATAAAGTTAAATTTTAAAAAATTCTTTAAAAATATTCTTTACAAAACAAAACAAGTGTTTAGTTGGCTCTGCTGTGAGACCATGTTCCAACTTTTTACTAATGGCTTTGAGAGCTCTCAGACTTGGTATCTGATGGTTCTTGTGTCCTAGTCTGCAACTGTATTGCTTTTACCTCAGCATTTGTGAAAGGGTTCTTTCTCAGGAAAACATGTATATACATTCAAAATTTTGGTTGGCATTTTAAGGTGTTGATAGACCCTTCTCAGGGACCTCTACCTTATACGAGTAAGTCCTGCTCTTACCAGGTCCTAACCCTGCTAGTCTCCTGGTTCTGAGCCCGGTAGGAAAACAAACTTCACTGGGACCAGGAGGTGGCATGGTGCTTAAGGCACTGGACACTCCCACATGGCCGACCAGGGTTCAAGTCCTGAATCTGGTGGCTTGCTTTCTCACTTCCTCTCTCTCTCACTCTCTGTCTCTCTCTGGTCAAACTAAAAAATAAATGAATAAAAAAATAAAAAGTTAAAAAAATAAAACTTCACCAAGACAGTTTTTACCCTTCAATCCTACTTGCTGTTTTCTCTTAGAATACAGTGGCATATTATGTTGTCCCCTGTACATCTGTAACTCTGAAGATGCCCAGCATTCCCCCCTCCTCAGATGGAATTTCCTGGTTTCCCTAATGATCAGCTCTCTTTACAACCTAGATCAGGGAGGCTGGCAGGTGGCATGGTGGTTGGGGTGCTGGACTCCCACATGGCTGACAGTGTTGTCAAGTCCAGGACCTGGGAGTTTGCCTTGTCACTTTCCCTTTCTCTGTCTCTCTGTGGTCAAAATAAATAACAAATAGAAATAAATAAATCTTGAAAGAAAAAAAAAAGATCAGGAAGTAGTAAACTATTTTCTTGGTTTAGCATGGGTAGAATTGGCATTTTAGTGCCCAGACAAGCAGCTTAAACTTTTTCCTTGCATAATCTGGACTCCAGAAGTACTCTTTTGTCCTACTGGCTGTAGAAGAGTAGATCAGCAATAGGGTTTCTGGCAATGTTAATCCTGAAAAAAAAAAAAATTTCAATATGGAAGGTACATTTTGATTGGAAGACTGTAGGTGGGCCACTAGAAACAATATCCTATGTGATTGTTTATGGGTACACATTTGGTACTAAGTTGGAAATAAAGGCAAAAATTAGGAAAGCTGTCCAATATTAATTATTTGCACTTGGGGGCTGTTAGTAGAGTTATTGGTTGACTTCCTGAATTGTGCTAGGCACTGTGATCTGACATATTACAATCTTGACTTACAGATAGCTGGCTTCTTAGAATGGTTACTGTAGGGGAGTTGTTTCCTGGGCTGGTTTGTGCAAACTGTGGGCCACAGTTCCATTTTCATATATGGTCTGGCTATTATCATTTTGTATTTTCTGTCCCTTAGTACTCTCTTTTGATAATTCTCACAAAGAGATTGAAAGATTCAGAGAAAACTAGATACTCATATCTTCACTGTTCAGAAATCATTTAGGCATCTTCATGACAAACTGTATGGCATCTTGACATTCTTTTTCTTTCTTTCTTTTTTTTTTTTTGAGAGGCTTTTTTATTTTTTTCCCGCTATTGGGCAAGTGTGCTTGCCAGACAGACAGAAAGTGAGAAATCACCCCCCCAGGGGGGATGGCCCTTCTCCTCCATTCTCCTCTTGGGATCTTGGGCACGCATGCACACGCGCCCGGTGTGAGTTTTAAGCCACCGGGTCCGGGATGTGAACCGTGGTCAACTACGTGGGAGTCCAGCAACATAGCCATTACACTAACTGCTGGTCCTGGCATCTTGATATTCTTGACTTGTTTATTGTATCATCATGGAGATCACCCAATAGAAAAAGTAACTGTGTAAAAGAATCTAAGACTGTTGATAGAATGCAGTGAACGAGTATTATAATCACTTTAACAAAAAGAGTAACAGTAGTTCCTGTAAGGAACCCTAACTATCCACCTAAATCATTTAGGCCATGAAGATCAACCTTAGAGAATCAAATAGCTATGTCCAGGTGATACACAGCCTATTTCACCTTTCTTGTTTCATAGATCCAAGTACAATAAGTGTTAACTGGGCAAGTTAATGGCCTGGCAGTTAAGTCAAGTGGATCTCACAAGACCAACTGCATGGTTTGAGACCTAGGCCTGGTGGCCTGAAAACCATGCTGGGCATATGTGTGTGCATGCTCAAAATCCTGAGAGGAAGACAAAGGAAAAAGGATTGTGGCATGGCCATCTTCCCTGGGTGTGCTTTCTCTCTTCCTCTCCCTCTCTCTCTCTCGTGAGTACACATGCCCTATAGCACTTTTGGAA